TTTATAAACTGGTTCTTTTTCCCACAGTTGGACTCTCCAATCTGGATCATTGAGAAGTACATCATATTAGAAAATGAGATGTTTAGAGACTCTCATTAATTGAACTGCAAATAATCTTTTAATCAATTCTGGATAATATTTCCCTCCAAAAAATTACTCTTCCATTTAACAACAGGAAAATTTTCCTTGCCATGAGCAATAAACATGAACCAGCATCCAGTGTGGTTTTCATTGCATCCAGTGCTTGTGACTTGCATTTTTGTCACCTTTGAGCACAGGGAAAGCAGGCGCTTTCACTTCATGTTGTTTTCCCAGAACAGGGTGTTTCAGAGGTCTCAGGTCACTTGGTTTGTACTTTGGTTCAAATGTTCATCACGTGAATGACCTTTGAAAAGTTACTTTGTATCTCTGAACTTTAGTAATATGTGAAATGAGGATGAAAAGTGTACTCCATAGACACATGCTGAGGAAAACGCTCTCTTCCTGGAGGACAGAGAGCCTTGGTGGCCTTCCCAAGGGCACACAGTTTAATCTGCAGAGTTGAGGTGATGCTGGCCTCACCCCTGCAGGCATGGCTCATCTGAAGCAGAAGCAATGGCAGTATTTCCGACACCCGACCTATTTCTGCTATCCCACCAGCTCCGTGAGCATTCTTAGAGAATGAGAGGCAAGTGGCCTCCCCACGGGACTGGGGTGCAGCACAAACAAACAGTGGTCAACAGAAGAGTCTAGAGATAATGGACGGAGCCCACAGAGCGAGCCCCAAAACACAGACATGTCACAAGCTGCTCCAGGAGCACCTGCTTGGTCCCAGATAGTCTGCCCGCTTAGGGAGAGACGCAATGCTGGAGTCACAGGTGGCCACAAGGTGGCAGGGTGCCACCAGCAAGAACACAAGCCCAAACCTCCAGGGAATGATCTCCTTGCAGCCGGGGCTAGTACACTGACCAAGATGACAAAAGAGAATATTCTAATCATATAAGCGAGAAACCTAAATTAATGCCCCCAAATGCTGCAAATTATATCTTCTGCCTAACTGTTCAACTCTTATTCACGACAGTAAAACAAGCACTCATCACATATGTTACGGTGACCATAAACTTACTCTCACACAAGTGACAGCATGAATACTTATTTTTAAATAAAGGAACTGAGAAACTTCAGGGTAAGATCAACCATCCAGAATACCTGGAATATTTTCTCATGAGGAGGAAAATATCTTTTAAATATTCAAATCTAAATCTATATAATTTCACCACCACAACCATTTTAAAACCTGAATTTTTCTACCAACTTACCTATTTCTGAGCTATCTTCTTTGCCCTCTAAAAAGATGAATATTTAAGGATGATAGAATAATTTTTAAAATAACCCAACTATATACAAGATCTTAGAAAAACTTAAATTATTTTGCGGTACCTGGGAAATTATCTATTTGAATGCCTCCATTAAATAGTCCCTGGAAGAAACCAGTGTCCACAGAGTGTGAAGAGCTGCCTGTAATAACACAGCCCATTAATTCAAAACCAAGATCCAAACCTTTATTGCTTCTCAGGATAAGTAATAATTGCGATCTCTTATGTAACTGTATCAGGAAAGCCATGGTTTTCCTTTACCCTGCAGAGCAGACAGCCACAACAAAGACAGAACACATGCATTAGGTTTTGTGCTGTACCACTTGAACCATCTGGCTTGCTTGTGTACCACTAACCGTCTGAGCAGCACTGCCACCGCTACAAGAGCAAAAGCCTAACAGGAAAATAAAACTGCTAATGGATCAAAGGCATGGCCACACAGCCATGGAGTAAAATTCAGGTAGAAAGGACAAAGGCCTCTCTGGGGATTCTGGATGCCCTCAGCCCTCCCCCACAAGGTGTGACTACTGAGTAATGTGTCTGATTTTAAAAGATACACAACCCGTGAACACACATCTAAGTGAGCCCCAGGTCCTCAGGGGCAGTCTCCCGGGAACCTGCCTGTTTGTGCCTGGACACTGCAGCACCTCTGACACGAGCTCTGCTTTGGGGATTGTGTTTAGCACTTCAGCAGTTCCCCCAAACATCTGCCACATGTTCAGATCTGTAGTGTGACCATGGAGCTGTTTCTGGAAAGCCTCCAGAGTCAATGCCTGGGGAAAGGTGGGTGATCAAGGTAGACACATACTACCTTATGATATTTTCATCAGTTCATCAGTGGGCTGCGAATGCAAAGATGATCTGCTGTGATTAGAATGGAACTGAGAAATTTCTGTCTCCTAGTGACACCACGCATGAGCTTGTGGTAACGCTGGTGTGGACACACCTACTGCTCTGCCTGTCATGCAGCAATTCAGCGCACACAATGCCATACGGAGTATGTAGTAGTTCAGAGCACCGAGCACCGCCCTGGCTTGGGGACTTCTTCACTTGTATTTTTACCATCATCTTCCCATGTAGTCCTTGCTATAAAGCAGGTGCACCATGTCACTGACCAAGGCCACATTGAGCTCGGCATAAATGCACTCTGTGACATCACACAGCAAGAAAATGTCCAACAGTGTACTTTCCTCAATGCTTCCTCCCTCATTCCAGATCACGCCTCAAACTTGCTGCCTCAGCCTCCCTGAGTGCCGGGATTATAGGCATCAACCACCATGCCATACCATTCATAAACATTTTTTGTGTGTTAATAAGTTATTCCTTTGATTTCCAATCCATGTCTGCCTCCCGCCAAAGAGAAAGCCACTTCTTAGGTCAAATCATGAAATTACTGTTATCTGACCATATGTGCGGTACAAAAGCCACATGGTTTAAAGCCAATATATTTGTATCTCAATGTCTTAGTAATGGTGGCAAGAAGCTCACAGCGTGACTGTGTCCATGTAATGTCCTCACATGGAGAAGCACAATACTAGATGTCAGCACTGAATTTCCGGGGCACACAAACCCAAACAATCTCGCAGGGTGTAAAATCAGTGTTCTCATTGACAGTTCTGCTTTTCACCCATTTCAGTTCATATTTATTCTGTGCATTTTGAGGGTTACAATTATTCTGCTAAGCCCACCAACAAGCAGCCTTTCCCAAGTAGGGTTATGCTGCAAAACCCATCACCCGAACCCACAGCGATGCTGAAGATGCTGTCCATGCAGAGTTTGGGAGCAGGTGTACTTACCAGACTCTGTGCCTGGGCTCTGTGGGCAGCCAGGGATTGGACTTGTGCCCAAGTGATTCCAGGAGGAAGCAGCAGACCCTGTGCCTTCCCACCTCCATCCCACAGGCAGAGGACCCTGCAGTCACAGTGGCAGTGACTGCACGGCCAGTGCCTCCCTCTCTGGCCCGTCTTCACTTTCAGTTTTTTATTTTTTTCCTTATGTTTATCACAAAACTCATTCCAGAAGCTCCTACTCAGCAAGACCCAGCAGAGAAGATGTAGTAGGCTATGAAGGGCACATCAGGCGCTGGGGAAGAGCTGTTGGCTCCCATTAGCAGCGCCACTGTTCCCAGATGAGGGACAACCCAGCCAGCCAGGAAATAATCTTTGCAGTGTTACTTTGACAAATTATGTACAGGACTCTAAGCCTTTGTAGCCAATATCCTGCTTCCAAAAATTCATAGCTTACCTAAGTAAATAACAAAAGACAGACTGGATGGAGCTGAGGAAGAGAAAGCGGTAGGAGTGAAAGACTTGCACTCAGCGCTCATAGCCAGGAGGAGGAGTGTGATGGCATGCACAGTGCCGCCAGTTGCCAAGTCATTGTGGCACTAGTGAAGCATGGTATATATAAACTTGCAAGCCCAGGGATGTGGGAGAGATAAAGCAAAGGGCATAATCAGTGCTGGGTTACAGATACAGACGCACAGACACAGAGATGTACCCTACTTCCCACCCCTGCACCCCCCCACACACAAAAGCTCTTCACAGGAGAGCTTCCAGGATTCTAGTGCCCTTTTAACACTCATTAGTCAAAGTGCTAATACCAGGTTCACACTGTGAGTTCTTCAGAAGAAAAGCTGACTTGATCCTCCCAGCAGAGTGTGATCTGAGAGCCTGGAGCTGCAGTCCTATTGAGCCTGGCATTGTCCCAGCAACTAAGGGACAGCAAGGGCCTTGATCCTGTCTTACCACAGCACACTGTAATCTCTCTCCATCCTGGGTACAATGACTTTGTGACAAGGACCTTACACAGGCAATGTTCTTTGTTGAGCAGTAGTTACTGAGTTTACTGCCAGATAGGTGACACAGAATGGGGCTCTTTCAGGTACATGTGCCGCTGTTTTAGCATTGGGCAAATACTAATGCTGGCCTGGAGGTCTTGTTTGTCACACATAGTACATGTCAGAGAGCACAACACATCCAATGTTGGGAGTCCTCTGAGTACATTTGGAAAGGCTCAGAAAGAAGATGCTTCTACAGACATTTGCCCTGGGACCCTAAGCAAAACATTAACACAATAAATCAGAGCCTACAGGCTTCCAGGATGGCCCAACTGTCACAATAATAAAAAAAAGAATGTGCAATTAACCTGGATAAGGAAAACTGGCCCAGTATATGAAGGAAACAGAAATACTATGCATCCCAGAAGTCACACAACAAACACAAGCACAAACACACACAATCAAACTTTGGTCTTAGCACTGTAGGTTCACAGTTCAGTTCCAGTGACTTAGGAAAGCTCTTTGAGTTCTCCCATCTTTGCCACATAGAAAGGAGACTGAAAAGGGCCCCAGGAGCATTCGGCAAACATCAGACTTTAGTGATTTTTGAGTGCTGAGAAAAAGTACCCTCTTTTTATGGCTTAGTAAACACACAAACTTTAGCCAAATGAAACAGCAACTTCTGTCTCAGGGACCCAGCTGGGGGCTGGAAGTGTACCTCAGAGGTACAGTACTGGCCTAGCATGCACAAGACACTGGGTTCCGTCTCCATCATCACAAAAAAAGAAAAGAAATGACCCAACCAGGTATATTTTTGTCCCAATGAACTTGAGTTGAAAATTTAAAAGGAGAAGAGGAGCACAGACCTTAGAAAAATGGATCCAAGGGGCTGTTCTATCTGTGCTGAGCTCTGGGTAGTTCAGACTGCTTCCAGAGCAACACCCTGGAGCACAGAGTGTGGCTGGAGGCGGGCCTGCCACACAGCCAGCAGCCCTCATTAGCCAACTCCGACCTGTGCAAAGCTGAAAATAAACCCTGCAGCCACTTTCCTACAGCTTGACTCCTATAATTCACTGTCATGGTTCAGTGCACCGTGGTCTTTAAAGTACTTATTCTTTTTGCTTTTCGACTCTCTCAACCACTGTACTACTTTTCTCCAAGAGATGACTTTTTATATACACAGTGAAATTATTTTTTTGTTTTCTTTATCTAACTGGGGATACTATTTTTTAAATTTCTTCATGATATTTTTATACTTGGTTAAGATTACTAGGAAAAAAATCAGTATGGAGGAATAAAATAGTTCTTAGTTGTCCATTAATCATAGTAACTAAAGAAATCTATTTCCGTATCCTGTTTAATATTTTAAATGCATTTAAAATATCCACTGGGATGCTGTGGGTTTTCTTTTATCCCAACTGAACTTTTTAAGTCTGTTCGTAACTAAATTTCCTTAATTGAATTACTTAAGATATTTTTAAAATAAATGAACATTGGTTTATTTTCAATAAGCTAGTGGCCTTTGAGTTTCCTAACACGTCTCCTCCAAAGTGGGAACCAATATTTGGCAACATTTACATTAATGGACACATGCAAATCAAACTGTCTTCCCAGAATGTACTTTTGTCCCTGACTTAGAAGGAGTCTCTGAAATAGATGACCAACTTCTTACAAATAAAAAACTAATATTCATCTTTACTTCCCTTTTTCATCTGTCAAGCTGATAGAAATGCTCTCTCTTGTATCAGTGGGGTATTGATAGAATAAAATTTCCCTAGGCCTCCTATTGGTCCATCAGCTGTTTGTCACTATAACAAAATGTCACTTAGGAAGAAAGGTTTTTAGCTCACCATCTTTGGGAACCTCTCAGCTGTATCACATCATGGTGATGGCAAAGGCGAGTGTAAGGAAACAAGTGATCGTACTACTGCCAAAACAAGAAGAAAGAGAGCTGTGTAGGGCCACACTGTTATAACCACCCTTCCTCAGGATCCACCTAATGGTCCCACAGGTACCTTAATGCCTCAACTGACCTACAAACCTCCCACTAAAGTTTCCAATACCCCCCATATCACAGCACTGGGAATAAAGCCCCCTGATGCCTGGACCCCAGGGGAAAAGCCACAGCCACCCCCACTCCAGATTCCCTGCTTGATAGGTGGAGGGGGCCTGACCCATCTAGGCTGAGCTATCCTTATAAGTCTCTGGAATCTCAAAGATCAGACTTCCCAGGCATCTTAGGTAAAGCACAGGTTCCCAGCCCTTACATCCCCTGAGCCCCCCTCTCCAGCAGGCACCTGACACCAGCCTGGGTTCTCAGAAGGCACTTTGACAAACACTGTTCACAAGCATCAGCCCCGCTGCTTTTGATCAATGCTTGTGCATTCATTTATCCAACAAACGATGGCAAGGCACATGCTACGTGTCTGATGTCACTCAGGAGGCAGTCAAACTGTCTGTGGGCCCTGCCCTCAAGAAATTTATAGCCTAAAAGGAGAAAGGAATTGGGAACATGAGTAATTACTGAAAGAGATCTGAGCAGGGTGGGCATCACGTTACAGGGGTTCAGAGGGGAAAGTCTAAGGGAAGAGGTGCAGTTTAGGGGAAGATGAGTCCTGGGTGGAGCCTGAAAGATTGCCAAGCACTGGGGCATGTAGAAGTAGAGAAGAAGAGGCGCTCTGAAGCACAGAGGCATGGACAGAGCCACGGACAGAGGAAGCCAGGGGCTGTGCAGTGAAGGCGGAGTCATTCAGTCAGCTTGGAGCCCGAGTGCAGGAGCTCATACAAGAGCAGCCAGATCCTGGAGGGCTCTGAACACCAAGATAGAACATGGCCACAAGTAGGAGCTTACAATATTCCCTGGGAAGGGGTCAGCTGTAGCGCCACTGCAGGAGAGAAAAGCCCTACACTCCTTCTTTGAAGTCCCTCAGTATGGCAGTCCAGCTGGGAGCCTCATCTGTGATTCCTCAGAACAAAATGTCCAGGGTCAGCTCACACCCTCTCTGCCAGGGACGCCTTGGTGATAGCAAAGGGCAAGAGCTTTTACCTGGCTTCTTTCCTCACTGAACCGTGGAAGTGCTCCTCTAGAGGGGAAGACAAGGAAAAGCTGTCAGGCCCTCACACTCTTCTCTTCGGACCACTGGGGAGCGTCCCCCAGGAGTGCTTCAACTCTGTCTCTGTCTCTGTCTCTGTCTCTGTCTCTCTCTCTCTCTCTCTCACACACACACACACATACACACACACACACACACACACACACACAAATGCACAGGCACGCGCAGGAGCAAAGGAGAACCTGGGCTACCCTCAGCAGGCAGCTTGAAAATAGAGACATGGTATTATTACTAGATTCTCCCTGGCATAATTTCCCACACCCAGTTAATGAATGGATTTTATCATTCATTATCATTTATCACTGCCTATGATTCTCTGAAGACTAATAATCTGCCCAGGGAAAAGCCAGACCTTATGTACTAGCCAGACCTTATGTACTGACGGTACGACCCATTCCTTCTGCAGTCTCAGTAGCTCCATTCAGTACTCAGCTACCACCTCACCCCCAGAGAAAAGCGCCCCAACCCCACCTATGGAGCTGACTGCTCATCTGCATATCAAAGGATCCTGCAAAATGCACAATGAGGAGGCTAAAGCTCCCCAATGCACTTCAGAACCACCCACAGCTCAGAATACCAGAACAAAATACATCAGTAAATGTAGCCATTACTCTATTTTTCACCTGAATCTAATCAGAAATACAAAACAGCATGTGTCAGAGATAAATGAATTACAATCAGAAGCAGGTACATAGGAGAAGCAGGTACAGGGTACCGTTATTTGCCCAAGTGATGGGTCATTTCTCTGTGAAATTTAATCAGAGGCAAGTAGCTTACACTTTTTCAGAGAAAGGAGAAGGAAGAAGTGTTGTTTTCTTGCTTGCTTCATAACAACAGTACAACCTTCAGCAAGCACTAAGTGTCCCTCTGTACATCTAATATTTTTAACAGGCATTATGTGCAGGGTAGGTGACCTGCCCTCTGCGCCCTTCTGGCTTCCTTCTGATGAAAAAGATCACCAACAAATTAAACAGAGACAAATTAGCTGCCCTGTCCTGCAGCCAGGACATGATCTCTGTGGGTCGTGATTTAGGAGAAGACTGGCTGAGCAACTCAAGGCTGGTGTTTGTCTTTGTGTGAATGAAAGCCCAGGACACAGATGTATCCTCATTTGCACTTCCTTACAGCAAGCCCTGTCTGTGTGAGCTGGCTGTGTGGCAATATTTCCCCAAGATCTAATGAAGAACTGGGAGACGGTTCTCTTGTCAAGAGCAGACAGCCACAGTAGCGCTGTCCTTCTTCAGTCCCATTTGTGGACTGTCTCGGGTGTCTTGGAGCTGCTCCAGCACAGGTCCAAGGGAAGGCAGATCCTAAGGAAAAGCCAGCCCTCCCAACAGCTGTGGGCCAAGGCTGACAGAGAGAATTATCTGCTTATAAGAACTCAGTGATTAGACTGGGCCTAAATAATCTATATTCTCTGTTCGTCTCGAGGTCTTTATCTTAACCACACCTGCAGATCCCTATAAAGCCACATAAAGTCACTAATTCACGGGTGGCAACAAATTAGGACGTGTACATCTTTGGGGGCCAGAATTTTGCTCATCACATGAGTAGATTGAGTTAAATACATTATTAAGATTAATTTCACAGGATTTTTTCTTTTCTAAATAAGTCTACTCGGACATTTTAAAGTACAAGTGTGTCTTACATCATATTTCTACCGGGTAACACTAAAGGCCTAAAGCCTTTGTAATTCTTCAGCATCACAACATGGGCTGTCTGAGGCCATGTGGAGCACAAGGGTCTGGCCGTGAAGTGACCTCTACTCCTGGAGCAGGTGGCATGCACTCGGGGCTGTGGAAAGTCAGGCCTGTTTGCATTAGATTATCGCTAATATTTCTGCTCACTCTCAAACATTCAGTTTGGAGGATGCATTCTACGGTTGCCCTACTCATGTGTTAAATGCCAAGGTGGGGCTGCTCGCTCATCATCAGTCAGGGGAGCTTCAGATTGATTTCCTAGGAGTGATAATGGTCTGCATTGATCTGCACACCAAGCCCCTACCCTTTGCAGTCTCTTGGTGAGTAATGGCTCCATCGGCAGGCTGGGCTGACTGACGGGCCTACCTCAAAGGCCATGGCCGAATGCACAGGCCACCAGCTAATCGACTTCCAAGACTGTAGATTAGCTAATTTTTGCTATTGTGTTTTTAAAAAGCACTCTAATTATAAAAATAGAATGTTAGAACCATGTCTGAATATTTAGAAATTTCCTGTAGCTTCTGCACATGTCCCATAAAAGACCACTGTGCGGTCTGCTGGTACCCATTAGCTATTATCCTTTTGGGTCAGTATGTGTAGTTTAAAAGTCTCTGTACAGTGACAACAAGCCTTGGAGCTGGTTTGTGTCCTCTGGCAGCATTTTCAGTCCCATTCCATGTCAGGATAGCTGCACGGATCCCAGTCAGCTGTACTCAATCCTCCAGAACATTTACATACCTCAGATTTCAACCAAATTTTGCTCCATGAAGTTCAGGAAATATAAGGAAGATGAGTGGTCAGCTCAAAGTCCCATCAGGGTGTGTGCCCCTCCTGGAGACAAAAGCTTTCTCACATGCTCTCTTCTCTGTCCCCCAGTGCTACTTCCCCTGGGTTTGTGCACATATGTGTGCACATGTTTGCACAAATATGGGAGCATGTGGTCTCTATTGGCCTGCCACTGCTACCTCTCCATGCAGAGGAGCCCCCAAAAGATGCCATCACCCTTGGACTGTGTGGCAGACACCTCTGCTCAGGGAGCTCTTGTTTAGGCAAATGGGTAACCGAGGCAGAGATCACTCGTGGAGCTCAGTGTGCTTCTCCTCTCCCTGTTCTCCCCAGTGACAACTGCTA